CTAAGAATACCTTTATGCCAAACCAGTTAAGACCGGGGGCAGCTTCCTGACTACGTCAACTGCAGAAAGTCTGGGGTCATGGCAGGGGTTTGGTCTGGCAACTAGGAGTCCAGTGAAGAGACAAAGCAGGTGTTAGACGGCCTTGGATAAGACACTGAAGCATCACCCTAGCCGGATTGGCTCAGTGGATAGAGCACCAGCCTGTGGACTAGAGGGTCCCAGGTTCAATTCCGGCCACGGGCACATACCTGGGTTGCAGGCTCCATCCCCAGTAGGGGGCATGCAGGAGGCAGCAGATTGGTGATTCTCTCTCAATATTGATGTTTCTTTCTCTCCTTTTCCCTTCCTCTCTGAAATCACTAAAGAAATATATTTTTTTAAAAAGTGAAGAATCTTTTCCAAAAGGGTAATAATAATGGAACTTATGTCTCATTTAATCCCACTCTGACCTAGAAAAGCTACACAAGCAGAGCTCCAAAGTTCAAATCATTCTACCCATTTCATCCTTCACCTTCTCAAAATTGAAGAGTTGCCCGTTTTTCATAAAATATCCGTTATAAGGGACTGTTTACGCTTCTTAGATCTCACCATCAGAATTATCTCATGGTTCAGAGAATTCATAGATAAAAAATCAAAGTACCATAATGCAATGCAAGTTCTCCCTTCTCTGTCTCAGTTCAAAATAAAACAGAAGTACGCAAGGTCCAAGCTTTTCTTAGTTACACAAGCCTTTTATTGCAGCTACTGCCACTAGGTGGCACTAAAGACTCGGTGTTTCAGGAATCAGACTCAAAATCAAAAATTATCTATCTTGAAATAAAGAATAAATTTCCCCGGTCCTCTGCCATTATGACCAGTTTCTTAGAAATTAACATGAATCTCATTTTATTCACTTATTTATTAACCCTACTATGTTTCAGACACTGTGCCCGACGTTAGGGATGCAGAAATAAAACACGGTTCCTTGTCCTTAAGAGGTCCCAGTGGGGAGGGTGGGGTTACTGTGAGGGCCAAGGGCAGGATCAGATAAGCAAGAATAAAATTGAAATATAGGGAGGAGGAGGAGATTTCTGAGAAGCAATCCAAAAATACACATCAGCCGGCCCCTCCTTGCTCACTCCCTCTTTCCGATGTCAAAGCCATCCATTTGTGCAGCTGGGCCGGGGCCTCTTCCTAACCCGGAGCAAAGGAGGTCAAGGAGGCAGAAGGTCCAAGGAGTGGGCTCTGGGACCCCAACCTCGCCCAGCAGGTTTCCTGGACCCGGCTCCATCGCCCTCCCACAGTTCCCAGACCAGGCGGGCTCCCTGCCTTCACCCATGCAGTTCCCGCCCTCTGGAATGCCCTTCCTCAGCCTTCAGGTCCCAGCCGGCTTTAACTCCCCTGAAGAACCTTCCCTGAGTCCCTGGGGCTCCCCCTGCATCCTGCACCCACCACGGTCACAGCCATTTTCTGGATGATGCTCTCTGGGGTGATGAGATCTTGGGGATGCTAGCTTTGCCTTTGTACCCCAGCACCTGGCACAGACAGGTTTTCAGTAAAGCCAGGAGGAAGGGAAGGAGGGAGGGAGGGAGCAAAGAAACACCTCTCTTAAGATTGGAGAGGATCTGGACGGTGAGCACCTGGCACAGGCCTGGGCATGGAGCAAAGCCCACTCCCTTCCTGCCGCCTCCACTAGAGCCTGGGCTCCAGCACCTGCTGCCTTGTCCCACTGGGAGCGGCTCAGGGTCCTCTCTATACCCACGGGCCTGAGTCGGTTGCCCATTTGGAGGCAAGGTGCCCTCTTCTTTCTGAGCGGAGCGCCTGGCAGGATGTCCCTGCAGCAGGTGGAGGCAACAGCAGAGGGCTCCAATCCGAGACCTGGCCGCCACATCCCAGCTTGTGCCCTGAAGGGGTCTCTGGTAATACAGCCACAGTTACAGATGCACAGAGGGCCTGGAGCCTCCTGGGCTCGTGGAAATGGGGACCACACATCAGCTGCAGAGACCGTCCTGACTCCCAGTCCAGCTCCGCTCCATCCCAGCCGAGGGAAGCGCCGAGGCCTGGTTCTGAGCTGTGGATGGGAATGATGTGCTGGGCTGGGTGGCAGGTGACTTTTTTTCCTGCAGTAACAGGAACTGGCCAGCAGAGGGCAACAGCCTCTGC